CAGTGAGAGAGTGAGACAGGGAGAGTGAGTGAGGCAGTAAGTGAGTGAGGCAGTGAGAGAGTGAGACAGGGAGAGAGTGAGAGTGAGGCACTGAGTGAATGAGACAGTGAGAGTCAGTGAATGAGACAGTGAGTGAGGCAGTGAATGAGGCAGGGAGTGAGTGAGGCAATGAGAGAGTGAGGCAGTGAGAGAGTGAGAGTGAGTCACTGAGTGAGGCAGTGAGAGGGTGAGGCAGTGAGAGTGAGTGAGGCAGTGAATGAGTGAGACAGGGAGTGAGTGAGTGAGGCAGGGAGTGAGTGAGACAGTGAGTGAGTGAGACAGTGAGTGAGTGTGAGTGAGGCAGTGAGTGAGTGAGGCAGTGAGTGAATCTCAAATTCCATTTTCTCCACATCTTCTCCAGCATTTGTTGTTTTCTGTTTTTAATTGGGCTATCATTGGGGTGTAAGGTGGTATCTCTTTGTAGTTTTAATTTGAATCACCAAGATGACTAGTGATTGTGAGCATTTTTCATGTGTTTGTTAGCTACGTGAGTGTCATTTTTTGGTAAATTGTTCGTGTGTTTTGCCAACTTTTCAAAGTGGATCATGTTTTTCTCTTACTGAGGGGTTGCAGAGTATCATAAATTTTGGTAATTAAACCCTTTACCAAGAATCTTTTGGAAAAGATTTTCTTCCCCAACACGTGAGCCCTTGTTTTACTCTTTTGATGAAGTCTTTTGATGTACACAAGCAATTTGTTTTTAGCAGGTCTCAGTCATTTACTTTGTCTTCTGCTCTGTGTACGTCCCTTTCATACTTGATAGTTTATGTATGCCCTGTAATAGGGCCCTTAATTTTGTTCCAATTTTCTGATTTATGATCCTGATAGCTGTAGGGTTTATATTTAGGTCTTTCCCTCATCTTGAATTCATTTCTGTGCATGGGGAGAGATATGGTCTTATTGCATTCTTATGCACATCGTGATCTTATTTATACAACACCATTTGTTGATGAGGCATTCTTTTTATCCCATTTGATAGTTTGGGGTCATTTGTCAAAGATCAGCTGCCCAGGTGATTTTTATAGATCTCTACAGACCACCTGGGAATCATATTGCAATATGGATTCTGATTCAGTATATTTGGGGTGGAAATACAAATCCTCAGCAGGAGGCTGAACCAGAATGAACTGATTGGAAGAGAGTTGAAGTTCAATATTAGGAATTTTGGAAACTTCTAATTTTGTAGTGAAACTATTTCCCCCTCCTGCCCCCCATGTTATTGTCGTTTGAGTGAAAGTTTATTAATTTTCCATTTAACAGTTTATGCACATTTTGTTTTGTGACATTAGTTGCATCCCCTCAATGTAATAACATTCTTCCCGCTTCCCTCCTGCCTTCGCTGTTTTCATTTGTCTGTCTTTGTGGTCCTTTTCTACCTTCTAAACGTTGTTTTTGGGAAAATGCTACCCCTTTGTTCTCATTTGATTCTGTGAGGAATGTATTCCGCATATGTGTTACCATTCACTGTATGGGTACTCTCTACTGTTTGGCTGAACAATGGTCCCTGGGGTTCAGTTAAGTCCCAAGTTTGAAGGCTGTCTCAGGGTCAGAGTCTCAAGGTTCTTCCAATATCTATCAGACAAGTGAGTCTGGTCTTTCTTATAATTTTGAAATTTTCTCTACATTTTTCTCCTCCTCTGTCCAGGAACATCTATTGTTTGGATCAGAGCAGTTAGTAGTGGTAGCCAGGCACCATCTGTTTTTCTTACTTGGAGACTGTGATTTGCATGGCCTATTAATTTTCTCGGTTAATTGCTTCCTTGACTTTTTTATTTTCTTCACTTATCTTTGTTCCAGGTGGGAAGAGACCAACAGTTGTATCTTATGTGACCATTCCCAAGCTTTTAAGACCCCACAAGTTATTCACCAAAGAAGGATGTAGAATATTGCCTTTGTGGACTATGCTACACCAATTGACCTAGATGTGTCCTGAGAAAGACCCCCCCCCCACCGAGCTAGAGATACATATTTGTGGATTCATAAATATTCTACATATCCACTGTCTTGCATCTATAATTGTATATGAGTTTATGGAAGATGAAAAAAAAGGCAGTATATCCATCTATTGCATCTTTCTATTAACTTATACAAGTCCTCAATTCTTCTAGTCCTGAGCAAGAAGGGCCCTGCTCTGGGTCCTTGCTCTAAAAACTTACTGCCATCAGATGGATGCTGACTCATAGCCATCCATCGGACCGGATGGACCTACCCCTGTGCACTTCAGAGACTGTAACTTTTTACGGGTGTCGAGAGACCATCGTTCTCCCATAGAGTTGCTGGTGGTTTTGAACTGCCGGCCTTGCAGTGGGCAGCCTAATTCCGAACTACTATGCCATCCGAGCTCTTCAAGTCCTTGTTTAGAGAGCTCCAATTTTGCACTCATGCTTCCCCAGTCAGGGAGTATTCAGGCTGAAAGTGGTGGCATTCTCTGTCTATACCCCAGGATTCCCTGCTCAGTGGCTCCCCTCCTCCTCCCGGGGCCTGTGTGGGTCTCTGAGGGCTGCATGGCTTGTCAAGGAACCCAAGGATTCTAATTTCAAACTTGACCTTCCAGGTTTTTATAAAAGTATAAGTCAGAAAGTATTACGGTTAGGGTCTAAGTTCATACATGCATAGGTTTATTCCAGACACAGCAGTTTTAAACATCTCTCTGCAATCAGTGGATGGGTGTAGGCAAGTTCTCTCAGTAAGACATTTATCTTAGTCTTGTCAGGGTGTTCAAAAGCAAAAACGTACCGCCAGCGAGTGGATGCTGACTCATAGCAACCCTGAAGGGCAGGGTAGAACTGCCCCTGTGGGTTCCTACGACTGTCACTTGTCCTGGGAATAGAAAGCTGGGTCTTTCTCCTGCTTCCAAAGAAAGGTCCAATCAAAACAGCGGCTTCAGCTAAGCCAATCAACTTCAAGACCAAGAGATCAGCTCAAGGGTAGGGGGGAAGGGGGCGGCGTGATTTCCCCCCCACAGTTTTATTGGCATATAATTCACATATCACACAATTCAATTGTTCAATCACATCGTGAAGAGTTGAACAACCATCACCACAGTCAGTTGTAGAACATTGTCCTTCTTCTTGTACTCATCGTTATTAGCTCCCCATCGCCCCCCAACCTCCCCTGACATACCCACCCCCATGGAACCATTGATCCAGTTACTGTCTCTCAAAGGGGGTAATTTTGACATTCTCGAAGGACAGAATATGACCACAGGGTTCATTCGGAAGAAGTGTGAAGAAAGTGGAAAGCTACATGGGTGAGGAAAAGGCCGGGGAAGTTGTGCGCTCATAGTCTCTTCTTAGTGCACCAACACACCTGCTCATTTTTTAAGGGTTGTTCTAGGAAACTTTCATGGGGAAACCTTACCTCTTCTACCCTACAGCCTTGATTCTGTCCCTTCAGACACCTTTTTGCTCCCCAAACTCAAAGACAATTTAACAGGAATATCATTTTAGGCCCTTGAGCTTGCCCAAACTTCCGTTTTAACATGGAATAAATTGAAGAGCCCAGAATTCTTTGGGGGAAAGGCACAAAAGAAATAGTGATGGGTCAAAGCAAGTCACAAGGCCATGCCAGGTTTGAGGCAGGGGAGCTAGACCCTGTCATTTAACGGGAAGAGGAGCAAAGTCATTTTGCAGAAGGATGAGCAGGGTGCAAGAATAGTTGCACTCCTCTTTTGTAAGCAACTTTTTACTGACTCTATTAGTAGTTTTGTCTCACTCCTTGCAGAAATGAATAACAATAACCACTAATCTCTTACCTCCTTACTCAGAATGCAGTCATTTAGTCTAGTGAAGTTGATTCAGGAAGTCATTTGAGGGGAACTGGAAAAGCCAGGGCTTGGGACCTGGTTGATATGAAATACTTAATTTGGAAAAGAACAGTACACACCATTCAGTGCTTATTATTAATCCTATGATTTTCTTTTTTTTTTTAAATAGCTGCTGCCATCTTGAGTAAAGTAAATCTGTCTGTGGACCCCTGTGATAATTTCTTCCGTTTCTCGTGTGATGGCTGGATAAACAATAATCCGATTCCTGAAGATATGCCGAGCTATGGGGTTTATCCTTGGCTGAGACATAATGTGGACCTAAAGTTGAAAGGTAAGTTTCTCCTGGGTTTGGCGATGTACTATAGAGAGAGTGTTATTTGACAAGAGAAACATAGTTTGGGGTTTGAAGCGGGACTGCACACTTTCTAACTATAGCGAATTAATTCACAAGAAACGTTTCAGTGGAAGATTTAAAGGAACACTGTGGAATTCCAGTTTCCCAGATCTCCGTGCAATCACAGGGTCAATTTCGTGTGAAGGACAAGAGCTTGCATTTGACTGTGAGTGGGCGCAAACCAACAGTTAATAAAGACGATGTTGTATCAGTAGATTTACGTGTGTGTGTTGTGCAGAGTAAACTTCAGCTCTTGCTCATTGTGCTGGGCGTTTCCATGGTCTGCAAAGGAGACCTCACACCGCCTTGTCTTTTGAGAACTCTGGATGACCTGGGGCTTGTCGTATTGTTCTTGCTCACTTCGAAGTTAGCTCTGGGAAGACTCTTTTCTCTTATGACCACTCTACCAATGACAAGCTCACATACAAATACTCACATGTGCACATGCGCACCGACCCTCCGCCTTACAGTCTTGTATGTATCGAAAGGTAAAAAGAAGAGACAGTCTCTAGATAGATGATTTTTTGACATTAGTTATATCCAAAAGTGTCATCAGGGCATGGCATGGAGTGGTTAAGATAAAGATTTTTGGGGGGTGGAGGTGGGGGTGGGGGAGATGTCTTAATGTAAAAACTAAAATTATCATCAGAGAATTTTGTTTGAAGAGGATTCTGCATATAGGTTCCTTCACAGTCCATAGAAATAAAAGTAAATGATCCAGAGAGGGTTTTTTGTTGTTGTTGCTGTTTCATTTTAGAAATGAACATTTTTATTTCCAAGCTCAATTGGAAAAATAAAAAAGAACAATATCAACAGGTAAAAAGTAGAAAGTTTCCCATGAATCTCCTCTTAGAAATAGCTGCAAATACAGCGATGGGGCATATAGGTCATTCCAGATTTGTTTCTGTGTATAGGTAAATATGCATACCCTTACATTAACCAAAAATGAAACTAGCTGGAATTCTGCATTCTCCTCTGTACCCTACTTCAAAAGAAGATGCATTCCTTATAGTCATGTTTTATATTGGTAGATTATCTTTCCTTATTTTAAAGATCATTGTGGTACACATTTGGGGGCACTTTTATAAAAGTATCCTTAGAATAATTTTCCAGAAAAGGAACTGATGGGTTAAAAGAGTATTCAGTTGAATATTTGATACATACACAGGACTGCTATGAGTCAGAAGTGACTCAATGCCAGTGAGAAGTTTTTGTTTAAGTTATAGCCAAGTAACTCCTCAGAAAGTGTATTTCTGTGTCTTTATGTTTTCTTGCTTTGTGAAATAACTTTTCCGCATCAACTCCGTGTGTGTGTGTGTGTGTGTGTGTGTGTGTGTGTGTGTGTGGTATACACTAGAGGTCAGGAAATTATGGCCTGTGAGCCAGATCAAATTCATTGCTTGTTTTTGTAAATAAAGTTTTATTGGAACACAGCCACATCCATTCATTTATGTATTGTATATGGTCATGTTAAATCTGCCACTATAATTAGCAGGGTTCAATACTCAGGACAGTGACCTTATGGTGTATAAAGCCTAAAATATATATATACCGTATATACTCGAGTATAGGCTGTGTTTCAGCACATTTCTTAAGTAGTTTTTGTGGTAAAATTAGATGCCTCAGCGGATATTTGGGTTTGCTTATACTCGAGTAAGTACGGTACTCTGGAAAAAGTTTGCCAACCCATGATGTCTGGTGTAAAGTAAAGCTTTAAAATGCAAGTATCCATATAAAATGATCTCTATATATATCTAAAGAGATCAGATCATCTATTTCATAATTTGATCATTTTATATAACATATTATGAACATCTTTTCATATCAATAAAGATGGATGTTGTATAATTATTTGGCATGATTCCTGGGTATGGATATATTATAGTTAATCAATTCTTTTTTTTAGTAAATCATTTCACTGGGGCCTCTTACAGCTCTTATAACAACCCACATATTCATTGTGTCAAGCACATTTGTACATATATGGTCATCATTTTCAAAACATGTTCTTTCTACTTGACTCCTTGGTATCAGCTCCTCTTTTTTTCCCCTCCCTCCCCCACCTTTCTACCTTCTTGACCCCTTGATAAATTATAAATTATTACTTTCATATCTTACACCATCTGCAGTGTCCCTTAACCCATGTTTCTGTTGTTCGTCCCCCTCAGGGTTGGGGGTAGGGGTTATACGTTGATCATTGCGATTGGCTTCCCCTTTCAGCCCCTTCTCCTCCCACCAGCCCCTTACCCTCATGGTATCACTACTCCCATTACTATTCCTGAGGGGTTTGTCTATGCTGGATTCTGTGTCAAGAGCTCTTATCTGTACCAGTGTACATGCTCCAGTCTATCAGGATTCGTGAGGTAGAACTGGGGTCATGATAGTGGAGGGGAGGAAGCATTAAAGAACCAGAGGAATGTTGTAGGTTTCCTTAGTGCTATACTGAACCATGGCTGGCTTATCCCTTCCTGTGACCCTACCGTGAGGGGATATCCAGTTGTCTACAGGTGGGCTTTGGGTCTCCACTCCGCCCCACCCCCCCATCCTATCGTTCACATTAAAATGGTTGTTTGGGGTCTTCTGATGCCTGACACCTGATCCTGTTGACACCTTGTGATCACACAGGCTGGTGTGCTTCCTCCATGTGGGCTTAGTTGCTTCCCTGCTAGATGGCTGCTTGTTTATCTTCAAGCCTTTAAGACCCCACATGCCTGGCACCATCAGCTATCTTCACCATATTTTCTTATGCACCCATTTTGTCTACAGTGATCGTATCAGGAGGGTTAACATCATAGAATGCCAGATTATTAGAACAAAGTGCTCTTGCATTGAGGGAGTACTTGAGTGGAGGCCCAATGTCCATCTGCTACCTTAATACTAACATATAAATATATGTACATAGACCTATTTCTCTATAGTTATATATAAATATATTTACATGCCTATATTTATACCTCTAGAAATTTATTTTGCCTCCTAGTTCTTTTCTCTATTTCCTCTTACTTTCTTCCTGTCCCATGATCATGTTTGACCTTCATTTGGCTCTCAGTAATTCCTCTCGGCTACATTGCACTTGATCAAACTCCACTAGGCGTTCTATGCTCTCCTCACCATCGATTTGAAATCACCTGTTGTTCCCTTGTCCCTGGGTTTGTTACTTCCTCCCTTCCTTTCACCCACCTCCCCTTCATGTTCCCTGGAACCGTCGGTCCTACCTATCTTACAATATTTAATCAATTCTCTCTCTCTCTTTCTCTCTCTCTCTTAATAGACCTTTGTGTCGAGGGCTGACTTTCAATAGATTGCAGTGAGGGAGTTGCTCTGCTTTTTACGAAACCCCGACCCAGAAGCAGATTGTCTACGAATGATTTAGCACCAGATTCCCCATGAACATGTGGTGCGTGATGGGCGAGGTTAATCAATTCTTATATTGCCATTTAGGTTATTTTAGTTTCCCCCTTGTTATATGCTACTCGGGTCATGAGTTGTGAAGCCACAAAAAAGCTGGATTTGAATCTCGGCTCCCTTTATGTCCCCCAGGTCAATGACTGATTCTACATAGCTTAGTTTTCTTATCTTTACACTGGAAATAAGAAGACTCATCTCTTCGAATTTTTATGAGACCCGAAGGACTTGCCCTTTATAAAGGGTCCAGTTTAGTTCCTGGAACAGAGCAGCTCTCACTGTGTTTGTCCCAGAGTTAGTTATAAGGTTCCTGAAATGATGTCTGCCAAACGCTTTGTTTTATTTTGGTCTTATCCTTTGTAAATGTCATGTGCTTTCAACAATATTGAATACTGTCTAGATATTTTCCCCTGCCCTTGATGAAAAGAACATCCCAAAATAAAACCCAATACTACCAATCAAGAGAATACCATTTTCTTATGGCTGATAGAGAACACACAGATCTGGTTGTCCAATATTTGAAAGAAAATGGATTTGACAGACCTGGCTGATGAAAAATTGCCCTCTATTGAAGTCAGCAACCTGGCTTTGTGAAGTTTTTCTTTAAATGGCATGGAGAACTCAAATGTTTGCTTGGAAAATAAAATTATTTCTTGTTCTCTTCAAGAAGCAGGATTTACTTTTTTTTTAAAGGCTAAATATACTCATGTGTTTGAATGTCTTCACATTTCCACCCTACAACCCCAGATTTGCCTTCATGGGATCATGGAGATGACACAGCATGTAGTCAGTGTTTATGAACAAGCATATGAAAATTTAGTGTCATTAATACTTAGGAAACATGGGGGAAATGAGTAAGATAGAACACTTGTGTCAAAGAGCAGACAGATGACTCAAGGGAGGACCAGATCATCTCTATTATGAAATAGCACTCTGCCACTAGTTTGTGAAGAAATACAGTATTTTATTATTTTCAAGCACAAACAGTACCAGCAGAATGATAAGATGAAGTAAGGACTATGCATTAGTGAGCAGACAATTGATGATTGTGACTCATGGATGGATTATTTATTTGTAAATACCTGCTGGCAGAGATTCAGATGGTTCCCATAATTAAATAACTCCCTCTATAATCTCATTTTTTCCTATCATCAGTGTTCCTAGGAAGACCATCTTTCAAGGATAATAGAAAGCTGAAAACTCCAGTTCAGCTCTTGTGAAGTCATTTGATGCTTAGGAAGCTCAAGTTAGTGAAGACATAGTGAATTGTGTCATTTCCCTATATTATGTGTATCCAATGATGTACCAGATTGAGCCTTGCTTCTATTAAGTTACCACAAATAATATCAGACTAGTAAAACTGAGGGTGGGGTGGGGAAGTACTAAGGACCAATCATCCACACACAGTGGTGGCCATTTTATTCTGAATGAATACGCAGAATTTTGAGTGACTCTCCTATGGGTATACCCACTTAGAGCAGGTTCCTATATTTCCCAGACCATGCCAGCTCTTTTTTTTAAAAAGTAGTTTG